AGTTAAGAAACAAGAGACCACAATTGAAAATTATTAAACAAGATCCAGAAAAGGGAAAGAAATACTGAACTTTTCAAATAAGAAAGAATGACTCCCAAAAGGTAAGTACAATGGTACTTTGAGTTTCGGCCATAATTCGTTCCAGAAGGCTGTTCGACTGCCGTTACCGAATGAATTTGTTTCAATTAGGAATAATGTAAATTAGATTAGTATGTTTCATACCCCCAAAAATACACTTACAAAAGCACTTACAAAAATACACTGAAGTAAGTGTTTGAGTTGGGAACTGTTCGAAACTCGAGGTACCACTGTAAGTACAAAAATTTTTAAGAAATTACACTGCAAATAACAATTTAAAGAGATAGGACCCAATGAGTGGTCTTACTCTTGTAACTACTAACAGGCAATTACACATAGATAGATAGACATGCACATGCAGTTATTATGTTATAGTGTGACTGCATGACCTTTTCTACCCTAAATTCAATACTGATGCAATATACACACATTGGCACCAGTTACACTGCACCACTATATACCATGGAATGCTTCCAACATTTGCTTCATGTAACAATGCAGGAAAATACTAATTATTTAATTAGAAAGCAAAATGCAGACAAGCAGGGCAATACAAAGACATATAGCAGAGCAATCCTTTTATACACATTTCACTCGTGTAATAAATATGAGCTAACCTTCATATAAAATATTGTGTAATAAAGGTTTCCTGTGCTGTATCTTTGTATTACCCTTCATATTTATTTGATCAACTCTAATCACTGTATGATAACCTTACATTTACAGCACAATTTCATAATATAGTTCAACACTGACTTCTTGTTTACAAGTCCATCCCACCAATTTTATCTGTTGGTTCTAGAGATCATCTCTGCTGCCCAGCCTCAGACTAGGCTTCTTAAGTTAAGAAAATATTACAGGGTTAAGAACCCTTAAGAAGCACAAAGGAAAGTAATGTGTATTGTGAATGTAAAAGTTTCTAAGATTTACCTGTCATCTTAGGTGTTCATAACACAGAACCATAAGAGCAGCAGTCCTGCCAGGGTGCAAAAGAATTAAGAGGTTTCCATTCTGCACTTGTCTGACAGGATGGTAATACCTCCCTGATGGATGCTGTCTGTCAACCTATTTTATAGTGTAGTGACACACTCATTATTTGTAGTGTTTAAGAGCAACCTATCTATTGAATAATTAATTTATATGGAAAATAAGTTCTTTAAAATACTGTATTTCTATAATTCAAGATTTTTAAAGCTTAAATATTGAACTTATGACTACCACCAAATAACTGATTAACTTTCAGCTTTCCATTCTCAATTCTTTTATTTACAATTAACAATATACCACATAGTAAAAGAAATAAGTCAATAAACAATCTACACAAGAGAGTTGTGTTCTTTGCTCTTTTTAACAAACTGTTTAATTCAGAAAGTCACTGTTACAAACCCAACTGTGTCTAGTCTCTTTTCAATAAGCAACAAACTACTTATAATATATTTGTATGACATTTAAATTACATCTAAATGTACCTAAACCTTTGTCTTAAATTCTCATTACAATTATTACTCTCAGTCTGCTATAATACTTATTAATGTCACAATATTATCAGATCCATCACTTAAAACTGTAAGCAAGTAGTATGGAATACAAATGTTCCTCTCATTACATTTTTATCACTTAAATTAATACTGATGGCTGCCTCTATGAACATAAATGTGATGCAAAAAACAAGCTTTTATTGTAGACAATATTTCACTCAAGAACTTCAAGTGAATAAATATTAAAATACAAGTTAATGTATCCAATCCAAGTGCATGAGAGGAAAAAGTTTAGAGGAACAGAGGGAGAGCTGTTAAGGTTAGCAACAGCACTAGCTACATTTTGTTTATTAATTTGGCTTCAGCCAGTCATCCTTTAACAGATGGGGCAATGCTGAGTGCCCATTAATTCTCTCCTATGGTGTTAAAATTCTTGATTGCTACAGCTACAGTAATTCAACTTCAACAACACAGAACACAAAATAAGAAGCTTAATTTTCCTCATCCTGCTAAAGCACTTCAGAGTGGTGTCAAACTAAAACTTCATGATGGTGGGGAGTGTTTTGTTTGTCAGGAAACAGAACAGTGTTTCCTGGCACAGGTCTTCATGAAATGATGACCTGCTCAGTGGCTTAGAATATCATTGTATGTGATAGTGAACTATTAATTCTGGACTTCACTGTCAACCCATCATCTGATCATCCTCCTCTTTTTCCCTCACTTCTGCTCTGCTGGGATATATAAGATGACATTTTGGTGCATAATCTATTGACATGATAAAGATCAGAGTAAAATGTTTCTTACATTTTTTTTTTTTTTTTTTTACCTAAATGGCTATCTCCCTCAAGGCATTATGATCTCAGCATTCTTATGTGGTTTTTAGTCACACCATCAAGGTTACTTGCCTATTCAATTTCCTCTTACTTTATTGAGCTTGCAATTTGACTTACTATTGATACAGTAAATATTTTTAGCATATTAAAGAATTTCTCTAGCTCCTTTAACAAATCAAATAAAAATTATGCACTAGTTATTCATTTTTCATTACCCTAGTTAAAAGAAAATCCGTTCTAACGTGCAAGCACACTATATAGTACTGCATAAAACTGTAATTTGATAACTCCTCAAGTAGTCTTATCTCATACTTTGAAATTAAAACAAAAATTGAAAAAATATATTTTATAGCTGAAAAAAAGACTTATACTTTGTACTCATAATCAAAATGAAACTTTAAAGTAAATTTATCTTACATTCAAGTCTGTAATATTTGGATGAATTCTTTAACAGTAACACTGGCAGTTTCAAATTACGTACTGTACTTATTACACCACACCATCTACACCAAAAGTTTTTACATATAAAATTATTTTAGCTACAATACATTTTATATCATAAATATAGTTTCATACAAGTACACACTATATCCTTACTGACTTTTAAGTATTAAACATCTCGTATTAAAAATCTGAACACGATTTGCAAAAAGGTAAATGTGAAGGTATTATAAATTGATAAAAGTATTAAGTTGATCTCTCAACTGGGCTGATTTCTCAAAATTTGTGTTTAGACTGATTGGTATTTCTTATACAGTCCAGAATGTTTAAAAAATAAAAGATACTATTAAAGTACATGCCAAATTTCTGTGTAAAATGTACTGGGCATGCAGACCTATAATTCTTATAAAAATGTTATTTAGAATCTAAAGCATAGCAAATATGTCAGAGATTCAGACTCCATTCAAAGATCAATCATTATTCTAAAGTAATAAAAACGTGTTTGCAATGATTTAAAGCAACTCATTTGAGATCTGCCTACACAGTGGAACCCCAGTTTTTGTCTGGTTCGGTTATCGTACAATTCAGTTTTCGCCCACTTTTTTCAGCGAAATTTTCCCCGCTTTTGTACATTCGCTTGGAAACTGTCTGTACCAGATGCGTCCACCTGCCCACTGGACGCGGCTGCTTATACCTCTCCTCCCTCTCCCCTCCTCGCCGTCTTCCATACACCAACAAGAGTCTTCAATAAAGGTAAAAGTGATTTAAATGTTCACTTATCCATTTCATTAGTGCTTTATATTTATTTCTCATTGTTTTCTGTATGTAAAACTACAGTTATTCTCTATAAAATGTATTTTTTGTTAATATTTTTGGGTGTCTGGAACGGATTAATTGTATTTACATTATTTCTTATGGGAAACATGGCTTCAGTTTTCATACAAATTGGTTTTTGGCCAACCTTCTGGAAAGGATTAAAGATGAAAACCGAGGTTCCACTCTCTCTCTCTCATATATAAATATATATATATATATATATATATATATATATATATATATATATATATATATATATATATATATATATATATATATATATATATATTTATTTATTTATTTATTTTGCAAACAGGCAATCTTAACAATGCAAGACAAGCCACCACAGGGAATGGAAAGCTTTAGCTCAAGATTTTCACATGTCTCTCTGCATCATCAGGAGCTATGCTGCACAGATCCTTATGATGCATGGAGATGTGTGAAAGATCTTGACCTAAAGATTTCATTTCACCCATGGATTGTCTTCAGTATGAGAGAGACAGAGACAGAGAACAAGACAGAAGAGAGAGAGACAGAAGAAGAGAGAGGAGAGAGAGAGAGAGAGAGAGAGAGAGGAGAGAGAGACAGAGAAGAGAGACAGAGAGAGAGACAGAGAGACAGAAGAGAGACAGAGAGAGAGACAGATGAGAGAGAGAGAGACAGAGAGGAGAGAGAGAGAGACAGAGAGAGAGAGAGAGAGAGAGAGAGAGAGAGAGAGAGAGAGAGAGAGAGAGAGAGAGAGAGAGAAGAGAGAGAGAGAGAGAAGAGACAGACAGAGAGAGAGGAGACAGAGAGAAGAGAGAGAGACAGAGAGACAGAGAGACAGAGAGAGACAGAGAGACAGAGAGAGAGACAGAGAGAGAGAGAGACAGAGACAGAAGACAGAGACAAAGACAGAGAGAGAGAAAAAGACAGAGAGAGAGAAGAGAGACAGAGACGACAGAGAGACAGAGGAAGGAGAGAGACAGAGAGAGACAGAGACAGAGACAGAGAGACAGAGACAGAGAGAGAGAAGAGAGAGAGAAGAGAGAGACAGAGACAGACAGAGGACAGAGACAGAGACAGAGACAGAGACAGAGACAGAGACAGAGACAGAGACAGACAGAGAGAGAGGGGAGAGAGAGAGAGAAGAAAGAGACGAGAGAGAAGAGAGAGAGAGAGAGAGACAGAGAGAGACGAGACGAGAGAGAGAGACGGAGAGAGGAGAGAGAGAAGAGAGAGAGAGAGAGAGAGAGAGAGAGGACAGAGAGAGACAGAGAGAGAGAGAGGGGAAGAGAGAGAGAGAGAGAAGAGAGAGAGAGGAGAGAGAGAGAGAGACAGAGAGAGAGAAGAGACAGAGAGAGAGAGAGAGAGAGAGAGAGAGAGAGAGAGAGAGAGAGAGAGAGAGAGAGAGAGAGAGAGAGAGAGAGAGAGAGATACAGAGACAGAGACAGAGACAGAGAGACAGAGATGGAGAGAGACAGAAACAGAGATACAGAGACAGAGAGAGAGACAAAGAAAGAGAGAGAGACAAAGAAAGAGAGAGAGACAAAGAAAGCGAGAGAGACAAAGAAAGAGAGAGAGACAAAGAAAGAGAGACAAAGAGACAGACAGACACAGACACACAGAGGTGAAGAGTGGCAAGAATGCATTATTGATGCATCACCTGACATCACAGCATTAACATAGACAAAACTTACAGGGATGATAACAGATGCAATCTTACCACCTGGATATCAGATTATGAGGAAAGACAGAGAACAGAGGGGGAGGATTAGCATTGCTCATCAAAAACCAGTGGAGTTTTGAGATGAGAGGAATGGAAAGAAGGGAAACAGACAACTTCATTGTAGGAACACTTCAGACTGGGGGTCCAAAGGTGATGATAGCAGTGATGTATAATCCACCATTTAACAGCAGGAGGGAAAGAGAAGTGTATGATGTGCCCAATAGGGCAATGTTGGATATACTAGCTGAAGTGGCCAGGAGGGCTCATATGGGTAGGATAAAATTGCTTATAATGGGGGATTTTAATCATAAAGAGATTGACTAGGAAAACCCAGAGCCACATGGGAGACCAGAAACATGGAGGGCTAAGATGTTGGAGACTGTATTAGAGAACTTCATGCACCAACATGTTAGGGATACAACCAGAGAGAGAGGAGAGGATGTTGCAGCAAGACTGGATCTTGTATTCACCTTGAATAGTTCAGACATAGGGGACATCACCCATTAAAGACCCCTTGGTGATAGTGATCATGATGTTCTGAGTTTTGAATATCTTGTAGAGTTAACAGTGGAGAACGCAGCAGCAAGAGAACAAATAGACACCGAACTTCAAAAAAGAGGAATACATTGGAATGAGAAGTTTTCTGCATGAAGTGCAGTGGGAAAGAGAACTAGAAGGAAAGACAGTAAATGAAATGATGGAACTAGTGACCACTAAGTGCAGGGAGGCAGAGGAGAGGTTCATACCAAAGGGTAACAGAAAAAATGGTAAGACCAAAGTGAGCCCATGGTTTCATTGGAGGTGTAAAAGGCCAAAGCCAAGTGTGCTAGAGCATCGAAAAGGTATAGAAGGCAAAGGACTCAAGAGAACAAGGAGTTGAACAGAAGAACCAGAAACGAATATGCAGGGATAAGGAGAGAGGCCCAGAGGCAATACGAGAACGACATAGCATCAAAGGCCAAATCTGAACCAAAGTTGTTATAGTCACAACAGGAGAAAAACAACAGTCAAGGACCAGGTAATCAGGCTGAGGAAAGAAGGAGGGGAGCTCACAAAGAGTGACTAAGAAGTATGTGATGAGCTAAACACAAGATTTAAAGAAGTATTCACAAAAGAGTCTGGAATGCTTCCAGCAAACTGTGGAGGTAGGGTGCACCAGAAGGTGCTGACACAATACAGATAACCAAGGTAGAAGTGAAGAAACTGCTAAACAAACTAGATACCTCAAAGGCAGTGGGCCCAGATAACATATCTCTATGGATACTGAGAGAGGGAGCAGAGGAACTGTGTGTGCCGCTAGCGGCAATCTTCAGTAAATCTATCGAAAATGGACAGTTGCCCGAAGCGTGGAAGACAGCACATGCAGTTCCAATTTTTAAGAAAGGAGACAGACAGGCAGCATTAAACTACAGACCAGTGTCACTGACTTGTATGTAAAGTCAAGGAAAAGATTATCAGAAGAGTGGTAGAACACATTGAAAAGATTGGACTCATACATGCAGAGATGGGAAATCCTGTGTCACAAATCTACTTGAGTTCTACAACAAGATAACAGAAGTAAGACAGGAGAGAGAGGGATGGGTAGATTGCATCTTTTTAGACTGCAAGAAGGCTTTTGACACAGTACCACACAAGAGACTGGTGAAAAATTAGAGGAGCAGGCAGGAATAACAGGGAAAGTACTGCAATGGATCAGGGAATACCTGACAGGAAGGAAACAACAAGTGTTGGTACATGTTGAAGTGTTGGAGTGGGCGCATGTGTCGAGTGGGGTTCCACAAGGTTCAGTCCTAGGCCCGGTGCTGTTTCTTGTATACGTGAATGACATGGTGGAAGGAACAGATTCAGAAGTGTCAGTGTTCACTGATGACGTGAAACTAATGAGGAGAATACAAGTGGGCAAGGATCAGTTAAGATTACAAGGGGGATCTGGACAGACTACAAGTATGGTCTGACAAATGGCTCCTGAAGTTTAACCCCAGTAAGTGTAAGGTCTCATGAAGATTGGGGAAGGACATACAAGACCGCAGACAGCGTACAGGTTAGGAAATCAAAAGCTGCAGACGTCAATTAAGGAAAAGGATCTTGGGGTGAGCATTATAACGAACATGTCCCCTGAGGCACACATCAATCAAATAACTGCTGCAGCATATGGGAGACTGGCAAACCTGAGATTGGCGTTTAGACATCTGAGTAAGGAGTTATTCACGACACTGTACACCATGTATGTAAGGCCTATACTGGAGTATGCAGCGCCAGTATGGAACCCTCACCTAGTCAAACACGTTACGAAATTGCAAAAATTGCAAAAATTTGCAACATGATTAGTCCCGGAACTGAGGGGTATGTCTTATGAAGAGAGGTTAAGGGAACTCAACCTGATGACACTAGAGGATAGGAGGGATAGAGGGGACATGATAACAACATATAAAATACTGAGAGGCATTGACAAGGTGGACAGGGATCGAATGTTTCAGATGGGAAAAAGGAACAAGGGGCCACAATTGAAAGCTGAAAACCCAGGTGAGTCATAGGTATGTTAGGAAGTATTTCTTTAGCCTTAGAGTTGTCAGGAAGTGGAATAATCTAGAGTGAAGTAGTGGAAGCAAGTTCCATAAATAGCTTTAAGAAGAGGTATGACAAAGATCACGGAGTAGGGAGAGAGTGAATTAGTACTGACCAGTGAAGAGGCGGGGCCAGGAGCTATGACTCGACCCCTGCAACTACATATAGGTGAGTATATAGGTGAGTACAGACAAACACACAGACACACCCACAGACAGACACCCACAGACACACACACCCACACACACACACAAAGTCAGCATATATCACCACTCCATCTAAGAAGAACCCCGACACATAGATAAACAGATACATATATATAGACAGATAGGCGGGTCAGATAGTTACTTTATGAAAGGGAACGGAAATGTAAGGAATGAAAGGGAGACGAGCACAGAAGAAAAAGATAATGTAAGATTATCTTTTTTTCTTGATTACCTTTATGGAGTTACAGGAGCAGAGGTTGGCTCATACCTTGTCGTCAACATTTAGTTTAGTACAGTTATGTATCACACTATACCTTCCTGTTGATCCTATTCCAGATGCTACATACCAAAAAGTTTTCCTTGTATTTTTCTCCTATCTTTTAATTAATGTATGTGGTAATCATATCTTCTGTTTCACTCCAATTAAGCATTTTCAGTCCCATCAGTCTTCTGTCATAATACAAGGAAACTTCAACTTAACGGCTCTCAGATTTAATGGACAAGATCTGTGTGAACAAGGTAATCTGTTTCCAGAATTACTTATTATTGTTATAATCTGCTGAGTAAATTGATTTCAGAAACAGTGGGCAAAATCTGCTGTTTCTAGAATTGTTATTGTTACACTCATGGCATTATCCAATGCTCTCCCCCATCCCCTATTATTCCCTTAAATCAAGGTTTCACTGCATATATTTTACATTTGCAATCTATTTATGTTATACTAAATATCTTTCAACTTTTCTGTTATATTTACGTTTTGTTAGGTATAGACCCCATATTACAACTGCCTATTCCAATTTTGGTGTAACATACTGTATGTTATGACCAACTGCGATGAGTTTGTGCCTTGAAACTACAGTACTTTTAGAAATACTGAAATAAATGAATAGAAGTGTTACGGTGGAATTCAAAGGATCTCGCGATTCTTGGCTAAAGTACAAATCTTACACTTCTCCCTATTCCAAACACAGCTGTTGCTTTAAATAAAAATACAACAAAAATTTAACTACTGCTAACAGTTATTTTCAAGATTAAATTTGATTGCAAGTATATACTTCTCTGTTTGAGACTGCACTCTCCTCATTCACTGCAACGAATCAGTTACATATTATAAACATGCAGCAAGAGGCATTACACATGAAACTACAAAAATATAGAGTAACAGTATCCATGAATAGTTGACATTCCTGATGCAATAAAACCTGAATACATTTAAAGCATTAGGAAAGTATGCACCAGAATATAAACATTCACTCTGTACAAAACTTAAGCTTTGATCTGTAACCCTCATGTACCCATTTCAATACTGTATGCAGTAATATCCATGTTGAACCAGCAACCTATGTTGCCAGTTTCATTAGATCTATATAAATTTGTCTGTAGAGATAAAAGTAACAACTACAATACACCCTTCAATCTCTGCAAGGGGTAAATAAAGTCTTGCTTTGAAACTAAAAATAATTTAGCAGAAATTGAAGTTCCAAAAAAAAGTAACCAGTACTAGCCACTACACAATTTGCAGGCATGATAAGTGAATTCTAACTGCACCCTGATTCTTGGAAGAGCTTCTGTTTACAAGATCAATATTTATCACAGGTTAAAACAATTACGATAAAATTAAACAAAACTACTAATACTCCCCCACAGCATTACTCCAGTATGGAAGCTGTTTACAAGAGTGACATGCAAAGAATGTTCATTTTATTTCACAAATTTAAATTGCACACAATTTTCCAGATCTGAATAAAACAAATAAAACTCATTAAAATGAGAAACTTTCTTTTCCATAAAATTTATGTCAGTTCGTTGCACAAAACAAATTAGTAAACCTCTGTATTGCAGAACATTATCAAACCTGCAGGTGTAACTATGTGCAAACATACATATTCACACTCAAACATTCGCACACTAAAATGCACAAGTACTATTTTACTGTTTCCTATCTAAATTTTAAAACTCCATTGTTTATTAATATATAAACTTTAAATAAACCCATCAAATTTATTCACACTTTTCATAATCTGGCATGTAAAATTTCTTGCTCATAATTAGAAATAACTTCTCTAAGTTAAATTCAGATTTTCAACTATTTCTCTTTTTTATCTTCATCATCACGAGAGAATTCAGAAGGATCTGATGATGAGCGGTTATCTTCCACATTTCCTTTAGTTATTGTAGTAGCAATGATACGAAGAATCAGATATGTCCAGTAGATGTGCAAAAACAACAGTGTAAACAACAAACTATTAAAAATGTAATAGGCAGGGAACATGGGAACAATTGTAGGAGCATCTATGGCTGTACTGTACAAGATCAGTACGGGATAAATTCCAACTCTAGTCACAATCCAGAGTATAGCAAAGATTGCAAAGACAGCATCACAGAAAGCTTTATGGCCAGAATAAATGCTCATTTTAGCCAGCTGAAGAGGAATATCAGCACAGTCATGCACAAGAAGAACTAGAGTACCAATTCTTGTGAGGTTACATGTCCAAGAAAATGTGATGAGAGAAATAGTAACCAAATGATGGAAAAACATTTGCCAGAAGTCTTTGCGTTTAATTTCAAAGAAGTGTGTGAATGTCATGGACCAATAGAAAGAAAGGGATATCATATAGTACCACCACACATCATTATCAATATTATGATTTGGATAATCATACCAACAATGTCGAATATCCCAGAGCCATGGTTTTCCACACATTATATACAACCCATACACAAAGATGAAAGTGTAGTATGTACACTGCCAAGCACATTCCATAAACTTGGTGAATTTATTGATACGTGTCATGGCTGTCCTTTGCCGTATCCACCGCTCTACTTTGCGTTCTGACCATCCAAGTTTACCAGCACAATGACTGATCTCACTGTCAGGGGGTTTGGCCTTATAACGCAAAAACAGATGTTCTAAAGTCTCATTAGGAACTACTGGACGTGCCTTTATATCCCTTAAGCCAACAGCTTGGGCTATAAAAGAATACACAAGATTGTTGAGAATCAAGAATCGAAGAGGAATAGCTAAAAGTGCCATAATAATGGGATACGTCCACAGGTCACTCCAGTTGGCGTAGTTAACCTTCTCATTGGGTACCAGATCTTCCCAGTAGTAGTTCGGGGGCAGCCACACATATGGATCCCAAAACCAGGTCGAAAACTTGTGCCACATCCACGCTGCCATCCTGGGGACAAGAAACGCCATCACCAACTCTTCACCACTCTTAAGAAATAAGATTTGATTTCCACATGAGAGTAGGATGAATCTCTTGTACACATGATGAATACCAAGCAATAGTAATTCCTTACTCAGTACTGAAGCTTCCCCTTTTGGTCACCATCAACTGAGGCATGAAAAAGTTACTGAAATCTTAATTTCACAGTAGTTCAGAATGCTGTGATACAATGACTTGAAATTTCAACACTCATAATATGATGAAATTATATTCTGCCAAGATATATGGTTGTGCTAATTTGGCTAATGAAAAACTAAAATAAAAAAATTCAGATAAAAGAAGACAGGTTTGACACTGTACCAACATGTAGCATTCATATGCTAAAAAAAAAATTGAACTAAACTAAAAATACTAAACACCACCAACATACTGAAACTAAGAAAAAATTTAACAGTATTAATGCACTACGACAAAATAAAAATTGGAACAGTAGCTGCATAACTTCAACAATGTGCATAAGCACACTTATTTCACTTTCTTCACAATTATACTCAATACTGGGCACTAATCTTTTTCCTTAGCAACTGGACTCACAAGAAGGCATTAAAGACCGCTCTTACAAATCATTGATATATGCTGCTTTTGGCAATGTATATGAACTTTACATAAGTAAGAATGCAACCCCCAAGGAAAGGCACATGATAAGTAAGAACAAAACAAATAGTTGCCAGTCATTCATATAATGTGGATTTCTTGATTCAGGTGCTAATGAGTTACTATTTACTGGATGTAGTTTAGGTTTTTCCATATTGTGTCTGATCTAGTTTACTATATTTGGAAAGAAGCAATGATGACAGGTTCACACAAACTGAACCTACTTAGAACCACCATGTTTGAATGGAACATTGGCCATTTGCAGAGCATTCAAAAATCCAAATAAAGCTTTACAACTGCCAGGCCATAGTACGAACATGTGTGAGCCATAACCCTTCTTTGTTCTATTGTTTTCTATACCAACAAGTCATTTGTAAGTTGAAACACCAGGAATGCAACTTGTTTGTATATACAGTAGCCTCCACATGCTCCTAAACAAACAGCAGATTTGTACAGTAATACAGTAACTGCCATAATTATTTATAAAACTGACTTTCAATACAAATGTACAAAGAAAAGACCTGCATAACTAAAGGGCATACATCAAAGGCAAGTCAAAGTTATATACACTCTAATGAAAAATAAAAAGATTTAAATATTTGTTTATAACCTAGCTTTCCAGATGGTGGTAATTAAACCTTTGGTTTTGATAACCTAGGAAGATACTCAATCTTTAGCAGATTTATCATCCTCTCAGATGATACATTTCTCAAAACAATTACGAAGATACTTTCAAACAAATACTTCTACATTACATAAATTTTAAGCATTTTTAGTTCTAGAAAAATTTTTATAACTACAAAAATTTTATATTTAAATAGCGAGATTAGATATTGCTCAAAATGGATCAAGGTCACAGGGAAGAGGGGCATGGCACAAGTGGGACATGAGGGAGGGAAAAATGAATGAGGAAAGGGGTGAGATGGAGAGGGAAAAAAATAGAAGACTGAAGTGGTGGTGGTAGTAGTTGTGACATTTATGAAGCACTCTGATCACGTAGGTTACTAACTGCTCACTGGCATAAAATATATATATATTATATATATATATATATTATATATATATATATATATAATATATATATATATATATATATATATATATATATATATATATAAAATATATATACACACACACACACACACACACACACACACACACACACACACACAAAACACACACACACACACACACACACCCCACACACACACACACACACACAAAAAAAAAAAAAAAAAAAATAAAGATAAATTCAACAAACAATAAAATTTTTTTATTATTATTATCACACTGGCCGATTCCCACCAAGGCAGGGTGGCCCGAAAAAGAAAAACTTTCACCATCATTCACTCCATCACTGTCTTGCCAGAAGGGTGCTTTACACTACAGTTTTTAAACTGCAACATTAACACCCCTCCTTCAGAGTGCAGGCACTGTACTTCCCATCTCCAGGACTCAAGTCCGGCCTGCCGGTTTCCCTGAATCCCTTCATAAATGTTACTTTGCTCACACTCCAACAGCACGTCAAGTATTAAAAACCATTTGTCTCCATTCACTCCTATCAAACACGCTCACGCATGCCTGCTGGAAGTCCAAGCCCCTCGCACACAAAACCTCCTTTACCCCCTCCCTCCAACCTTTCCTAGGCCGACCCCTACCCCGCCGTCCTTCCACTACAGACTGATACACTCTTGAAGTCATTCTGTTTCGCTCCATTCTCTCTACATGTCCGAACCACCTCAACAACCCTTCCTCAGCCCTCTGGACAACAGTTTTGGTAATCCCGCACCTCCTCCTAACTTCCAAACTACGAATTCTCTGCATTATATTCACACCACACATTGCCCTCAGACATGACATCTCCACTGCCTCCAGCCTTCTCCTCGCTTGCAACATTCATCACCCACGCTTCACACCCATATAAGAGCGTTGGTAAAACTATACTCTCATACATTCCCCTCTTTGCCTCCAAGGACAAAGTTCTTTGTCTCCACAGACTCCTAAGTGCACCACTCACTCTTTTTCCCTCATCAATTCTATGATTCACCTCATCTTTCATAGACCCATCCGCTGACACGTCCACTCCCAAATATCTGAATACGTTCACCTCCTCCATACTCTCTCCCTCCAATCTGATATTCAATCTTTCATCACCTAATCTTTTTGTTATCCTCATAACCTTACTCTTTCCTGTATTCACCTTTAATTTTCTTCTTTTGCACACCCTACCAAATTCATCCACCAATCTCTGCAACTTCTCTTCAGAATCTCCCAAGAGCACAGTGTCATCAGCAAAGAGCAGCTGTGACAACTCCCACTTAGTCTAGATACGAGAGAATGGGTCTATGTAGTAAGTGTGCACCATATTAAAAAATCCTGCAACACTCAGTGCATAATGAGAAAAAACTGACTGCTTTTGGTTTAAAACAATGACTTTATGGTGTATTTCTGTATGATTTCTATGGCTGTATTCAAGGTTTCTTGGTCTCATTTGACAGAATGGAAGATATATTACTGAAACAGGGATGATTTTTATTGGTTTTAGGACTGAAAATAGCTTGAAATTGACCTCAAATTAGTGGAAATGTTTGATTTTTGCCGATGTTCAAGAGTAAATAAATCACATAAAGTGTCTAATACACATCAACTGGTGGGTCTAATATGCATCCATGAATGCACTGATATTATACAATTTTTGCAATATTGCATAACAGTAAATCTTCTATTTTTCTGGTGTGAATAAAAATTCACTGTATGAATAAAGAAATAAAAATGTAACTAATGGAAATGTGACTAATGAACAGAGGAAATGTTATTTTAGTGCCAGGAATGACTGTATTGTTTATTCTGAACCCCCATTTTGAAACTGGAATATTTTGAAATTTGTGTGAAATAGCCAAATTACGAATTTCTGATCACTTTATTGGGTAGTTGAAATAGCTGATTGGGTGGTTTCTTGTCCTCAATTGATAAAATAGAATGCATACTAGCGAAATAGCTAAGAATTTGGTTGACTGGAACAATGTAATTGGCCTAAAATAGGAGTCAAAGTGGGCAAAATCGCCAATGCGTAAATATTGTTATATACTCTCTGGAGCACAGTCAAGAAAAGTGCATCATAATTTACACCTTTAAAATCCTAGAAATCTGTCCTGAATCTACACACAGAAATCACTCCCTTTGAAAGTAAAAAACTTGGCAGACAATGCAACATCTTCCCACAAAAAGCAAAGGGGCCTGAGAACACAAGTGTCAGGGGGCCCACAATAAGTGTTCTGGTACAGGTACATAAAAATAGTTACCTAAATTATTATACATAGCAGCAATGTGTGTAGAATACCTAGGATAACCCAAAAAGTCAAAGTGACTTATTTCCACTGGCAAGTAAGTTTATTCAGGTATACAGTGGACCCTTCTTTTTCATAAGCACCAGAAGTCATGATTTTTGAAAATCGTAACGCTTTTTCATCAAAATATTGACCCACGAATCCTCGTTTGACTCGCAAATAGTTGTTCGTCCCAGACATGTACGCACTGCCCTGAGGCAGCCCCACACTCCATTCACAGCCAGTGTGCCACTGTTTATCAGCAAGTGAGGACAATCCCACACATTCATACGATACATTTCGTAATATTCCATGCGTTTTAGTGCTTGCAACTGCTAAATAAGCCACTATGGCCCCAAAGAAAGCTCCTAGTGCCAGGCCTTTGGTAAAGAAGGTGAGACACACGATAGAATTCAAGAAAGAACTCGTAGCAAAGTACTGTACCAAAGTGGAGGAGGAAGAGAGAGGGGAGAATGTACTTTCTTCAGTGATTCAGTGATTCTACAATATGTACGATACCAAAGCAGCATGAGCTGATAAAGACAATAGTGCCAGCCAGCAATAATGTGTAGCATTAACAGTGTAGCAAGTGAGTTAAGCGATTAATCGGTAAAAAAAGGACAGCACGAAACTAACTCCTCCAATGTTATTGGAGGTATATAGGGCGACTGACAACACCGCCGCCTCTACCACCGCCTTCACCACCATTATGTAAGGCTTATGCTCTCAGTGGCCCTTATACACCCAACAACACCACCACCACTCGTGAAATACAGTGGACTCTCAACTAACGGAGGCATCGTTTAATGCCAAAATTGACTAACGGCTCTCTTTGGCATCAAAATATTGCTTCTACCAATGCCGAAAAACTCGTCTAAAGGCTTTCGTCCCGAACGTGTCTATGCGCCCTGAGCGGGCCAAGCCACTCCAATACTCCATGTATAGCCAGTGTGCCATTGTCTACAAGCCGTTGCGATCGATTCCATGTGTACGTGTGATATATTTTGTATTATTCCATTGTTTTTAGTG